TTTATAAACAAATACAAAAAGTAAAATATCCTCCATTGCGTCCAAAGGGGATTTCTAAACTAGCATTACTACATACTAAAATGGACCACTCTACAGTTAATTCAAAACAAACTTATGCTCAAGTTACGAAGTCCCAGCACATTTCTACTTAAAACAAAGAATCGTACAACACAGATAGGGGCGAACATAGCCCAAACAAATCAGACACAATTCAAAAAATTTTAATTATATTAAAACAAATGTTTACGCAGGCTACTACTATGACAAACCTGTTAGTAAATTTCATTGATGAGCTTTTAATAAAATTAAACAATTAAAGATAGCCGTTTGAAATGCCAACGGGCTACCACAACACAGGAATGAAGTAAAATATTTCATCAATGTCCATAAAGTTGATATAATGTTAATCTCTGAAACGCATTTTACCAATAAAAGCTTTTTTGGGATATGGGCGTAAGCCCAAAGGATTTGTTCGATTTGGTTGAAAGTTTTCAGAGACCAATTTTGTTAGAAAAATATAAATTTATTTTTCTCGTCAGAGAATGAGTATGTACAAGTTTGAGTTGTGTTTAAATTAATTGATTGCGCCAAAGGCGCTTTCTCGGTAAAGTTGTAAAACCGAGAATTAAAAGAAAAATTGACGGGCGCGGTAAGAGATTACCGGCCGCGTCTTGGTATACTGAACGGGTCCTAAAAAGGACGGTTCAATTGAATCCGCTCGTTGTAGCCCCTTTCCCGGCGTCGGTGGAACTCCGTTTGGGAAGTGGTCTTCCGTCTGGCAACTGCTCTCTGAGCAGGCTCTAGGCGGCGAAGTTTGGATCGCCACGGAACGAGTTTCCGGTGTGCCGGTGGCTGTCACCGTCTCGGCTCTCGGTATTGCGGAATGCTCCGTGTACCGAGGAGAGAGAGGTCTCTGAATTTGGATGTCGCCTTGTACTAGAGTGTCCCTTGGTGGCCGAGTTAACCGGACGCAGAACTCTAGTGGAATTAGCTTCCACGCTAGAGTCTGAGGAGGTGACGGCGGTACTAAAGTTTCAGCGGGCCGCTTAGTTGTAATGTGCGGCCGATGCTGGGACTCTGTTTTCCTTTTACGTGCCTTGCGAGGCAGCGTGAGAAAAACTGCGAGACAATTTGCCTCTGGTTAAATTCTGCTAAAGCAGAGTCTGACTCAGATCAAGGGCCTTGGAGAGAGCTCGCCTTGAAGCGAGTGAGTGAGGAAAGATCTGCGGAGAAGCTCTTTTATATTGCTTCGATCGAAGCTTGATCGCGAGAAAGCTCTTCACCGCCTGCGCAACCTAGCGGTGTCTCCGCAAGCTCATAACTCGGTAGAAGGCCTGCGGCGCGTAGCGGCGCCGCGGCGTATTATGCCGCGTCAGTGTAGCGGTGTGGCGGTGAGCCGCCACACGGGATACCAAATTTCAACTTATATCACACAATGCAATCAGATGGAACAGCCCATGGAAGCTCGGCCATATTGGTAAAAAAAAACAATTAAACATTATGAGCATGGCAAATATAGCAAAGATCATCTGCAAGCCATCTCTATAGTGGTAGAGGACTGGGTTGGTCCGATCACAATTGCAGTAACATACAGCCCGCCAAAATGCACCATTAACAAGGAACAATACCTGGATTTTTTCAAAACTCTTGGCAATCGCTTCCTAGCGGCGACTATAATGCCAAGCACGCCCAGTGGGGATCGAGAATTACATCACCAAAGGGACGAGAACTTATAAAGGCTGCTGAAAAACTGCAATTAAACATAGTTTCTACCGGTGAACCGACCTACTGGCCCTCGGACAAAGGCAGAAAACCTGATCTTTTTGGAGTTGCCAGAGGGATTGCATCAAGATATGTTAAATGCGATTCCAGCTACGAGCTCTCCTCTGACCATTCACCAATTCTAATTACAATCGCAACTGCAACTATAAAAGAAATGCAGAACCGCAAATTACATATAATAATAACAATTGGGATAACTACCGCGAGCTGATTAGATCAACTATAAACTTGAGGATACCATTAAAAACTGAACTGGATATTATCTCGGCTGTTAAGCACTTCAATGAATGTATTCAACAAGCAGTTTGGAAATCAACACCTTTCTCTTCTGAGCAAGAAGTTACCTTAAATTGTCCTAACCATATCCAGGAAAAAATAAAGGAAAAAAGGAAGATCAGGAAACTTTGACAAACTACAAGATGTTTTATAATTAAGAAGAAATTAAATTATGTCACAAAGGAGGTAAAGGATATATTGAATAAGGATGTTAACGGAAGTATGCAAACCTACCTTACGGAGTTTGATGCTACCCCGGCAACCGCCAGCTAACCTTCGATTATTCATTGTGGAGGATAACGAGAAGATTTAAACAGCCTAAGTCAATAAATCAACCTTCTGTACATAGACCTGATGGTACCTGGGTCAGAAGCAATATCAAAAAAGCGGAAACTTTTGTTCAGCATCTCTCTGAGGTTTTTAGACCTAATCCCAATTTATGTTCATCTGAGGAACACACCATTGAAAAGAAGGTAAACAAAATACATCAACTAGGTCAATCAATTAGAAAGTTTACCAAAAACGATGTCTATCGTGAAATCACAAACTTGAAGCCAAAAAAGTCTCCGGGTTATGATTTAATAACAGGTGCAGCGTTGAAGAAATTACCAGGTGAGGGAATGATATTCCTTACGTAACTGCTTAAGGTCATCATTCGAACATGCACCTTCCCCTCACAGTGGAAAGTTGTCCAAATAAAAATGATCATAAAATCAGGCAAACCCCCAATGATTCCAAATCATACAAACCCATTAGCCTATTATCCAATCCTGCCAAACTATTTAAAAAACTACTTTTTTTCAGGTTAATGACGGAAATTGAAGAAAGGCAGATAATACCTGACCACCAATACGGGTTTAAAATGAAACATAGCACAACGGATCAAGTACATAGAATAGGAGATACAATTTACAGATCATTCGAAGCAGGAAAGTACTGCTCGGCTATTTTCTTAGATGTTGCCCAGGTCTTCGACAAAGTATGGCACACTGGCCTGCTATACAAAGTTAAAACTAAGTTACCTATAAATTATATTGCATTTTTTAAATCTTACCTAACTGACCGTCACTTCATGATTAGATATGGGGAAACGCTATCAGAGTTAAAACCCTTTCATGCTGGTGTCCCACAAGGAAGTGTCTTAGGCCCCATACTTTATCTGATCTATACTGGAGACCTCCCACAAACAACAAGAATAACAACAGGAACCTTTGCGGATGACACTGTCCTGATTGCGACCCGCGCCGATTCGATACAGGCCTCTAAGTTGTTACAAAAAGGCTTAATTGAAATAGAGAACTGGACGAACAAATGAATTAAGATTAATGAAACCAAGTCTATACATGTCACGTTTATTACCAAGAAACTAAAATGTCCGGTAGTTAAACTACACAATCCCCCAACAAGATGAAGCCAAATATCTAGGTTTACACCTAGACAGGCGCTTAACGTGGAAAAACACATATCAACCAAGCGCAAGCAATTAGGTATTAAGCTGAGACAGACGTATTGGATCATTGGCAGAAAGTCACAAATAACTATTGAAAATAAGTTACTTATCTATAAGAGCGTAATCAAACCTATTTGGATCTTTGGAATGCAGTTATGGGGAACTGCCTCAAATTTCAATATAGAAGTAATACAACGCTTTCAGTCAAAAATCCTTCGAATTATGGTTGATGCGCCTTGGTATATGACTAACGAGACCTTGCATAGAGATCTGGGAATGCCTACTGTTAGAAAGGAGGTACGAAAAGCCAGTGGGAAGCATAAACTAAGATTGCAAAACCATCCAAATGAAACTGCGGCCAAACTAATCAAGAAACCTTATTGCACTCGTAGACTCAAACGAAGAATTCTTCAAGATTTGACTGAGTAATTTAGTAGACCTTTAGGGTGTGTCATTGGACACATATCGTGCTAAGTCTGATATTTTTTAACACAAAAAGTACTTATTGTCCTGAATGCGACAGTATTATATTTATGTATAGAAGTTAAAAAAAAAAAAAAAACGTTACAATTATATTTTTATCAGATGTATATGTTAAAATATTTGTTAGTGTTCTCATTTTTTATCTCTTTTCTGTCAATGTATTTGCATAAACATTTAGAATACTAAAAATAATTTAGTAGAATATTCAATGAATGTTCTTTAGATGATATTAAATATCTTCTCTGAATATTCCTGGAATATAGTAAAGAATATTTTTTCAACCTACCTGGAATATTGGTCTCATTTGAACGTTCTCTGAAGATTTAAAGAACATCTCTTATAGTACATTGAAAGAATATTTTAATATTCTTAACAAATATTTATAAAATGTTTATAGAATGTGTTTGCGTTATTTGGGCGATAATATAAGGTTTCAAAGTAGAGCGGATATAAATTTCTATGTATTGTAATATCTAGTGACCTTATCTACAAATGAAAGAAGAACCCTTTAAAGATTTATTTCTGTATATTTTGGCTTGTGATTCTGGTTGGTCGGTCGGCGAAAACAAAAGTAACACACGAGCAATGAGCAGGCAGAAACTTTACTTTTTGTTGCCGTGCGACACTTTCCTAGCACACTCTTACAGCATACTTCTCACAGTCAAGCCACGTGAAACACGCGCTTATTTGTCAATTATTTTTAATTAAGTTCTTTATAATTATTGTAAAAATTGCAAAATGGTAAAGAACTGTTCAATTCGGTTTACAGTGCTCTATCCGCTTACGAGCATTGTCGTGATTATTCTGAGACAACTTGTATAAATAAATTTCTTACTGATATAAAATTCATCAACTAATTTTAAATCATAGAACATAAAGGTATTTTTTGAAATATAAACTCTATAATATTCATGATCATAATTATGGTATTGTTATATATAATAATTACTGGTAATCTATTGTTGTACTTGAAGAAAGTTAAGAAATTTTGGACATGATATATACTTACGAGTTTTATTCTTTGCATTTAAATGTTTTTGATGCACGAAAACATCATATATAGTTCCGATTATCATCGCGCAAATAGTAAGCATTAAAATAACACTGCAATCAAAGATTAATATTTATAAATATCTCTTTGCTACTTTTCTTAGGACTTTTGGAAGTTATATAAAAATGTGCATCTCTATAGTCCTATACAGAGTGGTCCATGGAACTGAATCAAGCTCAAGTACTTATTCTGTTGAAGATAGAAAAAAATTGTAGAGAAAAAAGTTAAATGAAACATAACATGAAAAATCTATGGACGCGAACATACTTTATCTATATATTTAATTAGTATGAACTGGTTAACTAATATTACTTCACATGTCTTCAAGTGTTTATACTCAAAATCCATAATCGTCAACACAGTGGAACGTTTAAATATTACCTTAAATAAAGCATATATCTCACTCAAAAATGTTAAATATCTCATGAAGTATTAATTTTTCGAGCATCTTATCCTAATACTTTTATACAGAGATTATACAAAGGAACTTATTTATGCAGAAAATTACGTATTTTTATTAAAAAAAAGCAATTGCATTTTTCTGGTGCATCGTTGCACTTGCGAAAAAAATAAGTCTAGAAAATTTTTTCATGTTATGTTATTTAACTTTTTCCTCTATCGTTTTTTCTATCTTCCAAAGGACAAGCGCTAGCACTCGGCCCAGTTCCGTGGACCACTCTGTATATAAAATATATATCAACACTTCAGAGTTATACTATGTAAAGTCACATTTTCTCGAAAATTGAGTTATTATTGTCATAAAACTATATTCCAATTGATATTGATATCTGTTCGAATTATTGTGCGCTAATTTGAATCATTTGATTCGCTCGCGGCGCGGTGCTCTTTTGTCGGACGAGATCGTTCTTGCTCTCTTTCGTTTTTGTTTTTCGACACGGCAACCATCTGTATGTGAGTTTATCAATTTATATTAGAATAAAGCGTATCAGTTCAAGCATAATCTCTCGATGTAAAACTTTGTCTTATCCCGATCTTATCATACATAATACTAATTTTTACCCAATGACAAACAGTTTTAAGTTCTTACAAGGAAAGGGACCCAAGTGTCCCCCTCCGATTTTGACGAGCTTTAAATATGTTGTAAAGTAGCTCAAAATAGAGACACGTATTTTTTTTATGTGCTTTCTCACACGTTTAGGGTTGAAAC